ACCGCAAGGCAGTGGATAAAGCGAAATGGGAGCTCATTTACTTGGATCAATTACTCCTCTGCCGATTTACCGACTGAAACGCCAACTCGAGTAGAACCCCCAACCTGGAGGACCAGGAGACTGAACTTCGTCTAACCTCCACACATTGACCTTCCAGGCATGATTAAATCTGCGGCTTATTGGGTTAGAGGTGCACAAGCCATCACATCTCTTCAACGTGCAGTCTCGTCGTGATGGTGTTTCGTTTCCAATTATCCAAATAACAAATCCAATGTACACAGAAGTTTTCTCGGCTACTTCTCAGCTGACTCTGTGTCCCGTTCCCTTCCACTTAACGAACTGTAATTCTTTGACTGTATTTTTCTCCTCTGGGAGATTATTACTCTCGACGATTTCAGTATGGTTAACGGAGGAAAATACGGTTAACAGATGTTATCTTATCACCGAACGTTTACAATTTATCTTGGAGGTTTATCTGTTGTTCTCTCTGCTCGTCATTTTAAGTACGATGGTGATACTCACACTTTCATTCCTATTAGTCGTTGGTACGAAGCTAAAAATAACATATCACGCATTGTTACATACTCCACTTTATCCAATCCGAAGCCTAACCCTGATAGATGTTTTATATGTGCCCTGCCTTAAAGTACCTTGAGCCAATGGACAGAGTAAGCCATGGAAGTGACCAGACTGATACACAAAAAAGTAACCGTTGATCTCTAAATACGATTAATTGAAACTGCCAAACTGAAAAAAACTTCTTTCTAAATCTCATTGCGTCATTTTCGCATTGCTCAATAGCTGATATATATATATATTTCATAATAAGTAGCATGTGAATCACTGGACAAAATTTCCCTGGAAACACACGACCGGTTTCGCGGTTCTTTCCGCTCATCAGGCATGCATATCTGGTAACTTTTTGTCAGTTCATTCATATACTTGTACCCAGGAAGTGTATTTTTGTCACAATAACCTTGTTTGCAACACCGGGTAACCATTGG